ATAAACGAAGCTATTCCGAGAGATCCTACAGCTTTAAGCAGACAAAATAGCCTTAAGTCTATATCGAGTAGTTTAGTATTATTAGCTATGTCCGCCTGCTTTATCTTAACCGTTATTCCGTTACTTAATCGCTTAAGCTCTATCTCGTTCTATCTCTATCTTGTTTAATCGCTCCTTATTTAATCGCTCCTTATTTAATCGCTTAAGCGCCCGTTCGCTTATAATGGTCTTAATAGTTTATTTCCCTATAATCCTAGTTAGTTAGACGATAGCCTTAGTTACGGTAATATCTATAGTAGGGTATACGATCCTTACCTTACTGAAAGAATAGCGTTAGTAGATTAAGGCTATTATATACGATAACCAGGTATTTAACCTTATTAATTAAGTATAAATAATACTAAACCTGATCACGCCTATTAACCACGGGCGCGTAATAAAAATAAAATGAATAAAACTACCGAGATAGCGATTATAACTACCGCCTCCTTCTCGGGATACTATTATAGCTATACCGTAACGTCGGCGCTACGGTATAACCGGAGGAATCGATATATAGTGTTATCCCGACTTTAACCACGTAAACTTCTTAACGGACCTACTTTTCGTACTATAAACACTCCCGCCCCCCCCTCGAGGCAGGACGCTACGCGGAACTAATATAAGACTAAAAGGGGACCGCCGCGCCACTTAGAACCCAGAATAGCTAAAATCAAGGCAGAAATTCAGGCCTTACTAGCTAATAGAAATACGATTAAATAGGTTATTAAGCTAATAAAGAAACTAATTATCATATATAATACTCGTAACGCTACCGGTATAATACCGCTAGTATACTTATACGCTTTCGTCCGCTAAGTTATCTAAGAGGAACTCTAAAAGGCGTTAGCGGTATAAACTAGACCTAGGCTAATATTATAGCCTAGGCTCCTGTAATAGTATTACCGCGCGACCCTGTCCCCCTTAAAATATTCCCCGCTAAATACTACTAAGAACTAATTATCCGTTAAGGAACCCTCCCTAAGAACTGGCCCCTTAAAGCCAGGACCTTAAAGGAAATTATCTAAGCTATAAACGCTATAATTACCCGATATAATACTATAGCAGTATAGAAACTACCTAGCGGAGATATCTACTTTACCTTTACTAAAGAGGTATAGTAGTAGGCTACCTATAAGAAGTACTAGATTAAGAAGGCCTTTAATAAAGGAGCCGCTTTAGCCGCGCGCACCTACCCTACGCTTACTAAGGCTATTTCTTATAAGGTCCTTAACGCCCTATCAGAAAAAGACCTACTAGTATCTCTATAAGATATAAATCCTAAGGCTAAAATTCTCTAAGTAATATAACGAGTACCCTACCACGGTACCGGTAAGGTAGCGTTTCTCCTTATCGAATCGGCTTTACCGGAAATAGTAGTAAGCTTTATCCGGAATACCCTCCTTTTTAAGGGGGTTAGCTATATCTATAAACTATATAATCCTAACCTTAGTTCTCTAAAATACTATAAATACTTATACTTCGGCTATAAGATTAATAGCTACCTTATAGTAGAGAGGGTATACCGTTATTACGCTAAGTCCGAATTAGCGTACCTATAAGGCCTAGGATACTATAATACTACGGCGCCTAGGCGCCCCCGCCGCTACGCCGCTTACGCCGGAGATTATAATACCTTTAACGATTTATACCGGCTATTAAAGAGAGAGGCTAAGAAGACCTATAGGGCGTATAAGTACCGAGCTAGGGACTTTAATATTATATATTAGACCGAAGTAGTATACCTATAGTAGTTATAGATTTTTCCCCCCGATTATTATCTCCTAGGACTTTAACTAACCCCTTTATAGGGGTAAAGGACGACACCGAAAAGGACTAAAGGCTTAGAGGGCTCCCCGACGCTAGGCCTAATAAACGCCTATATATTCCCCCGCGGGATTAGCGAGGTACTATAGTAGGAGCCCTAGACCTAGACCCCGGTTATACTAGGCATATTATCTT